GGTTTACCTATATTATGATTCATTCACCCAATGACTTATGGGGAAGGGGTGGGATTTAATAAGGTTATACTTCCTAGTTTCATGTAGGAACTATTTTCTTTCTACCAAACTACACCCGCCAACTGTATCACCACACAAAGATATTTGTATATTTGATGTTGGGAGTGAACTGTGCCTTTAATATACACAAAAATACAGATTTATTGCGGTAACCTTTGTTAATAAAGTTTAATGTTTAACTGTAAAAGGTCTTTGGTCAGGCATATCTATCATAAACATTTGTTTAAAGCTATACTATGCAGAAATTGTTGGCTACCCTTTGTAACTAGTATCACCAGCGAAAGTGAAAGTCAACCCCACAATTGTCCGCTTGGCCTTTCGCCTCACTATATTTGTGTTTTTTCTGCACTTCATAGTTTCCTCTTGGATTCGTGCTGCTTACTGTTCAACACCTGGTGGCCACCGATTTATAAAGTCACACACAACACACAGAGTCTCTGCAAATAAATACACCACCACACACTTCTAGTGGGTCATAAGTGATGATTGAGAGGGATTACTTTTATATGAGTGTCCGCATTTTTAAGGAAAATCCTGCATAGTATAAAACAAATGGCCTAGATAGTGTTATCACATTTTAATTACTCTCAAAAATTAGTATCGAGACAAGGGGTGCACAAATTCACCATTTGGTGTTCCCCTGATTCTGGTACCTCAATTTAGGATATTACGCACAGAGTACTAGTATCCCTGTTTTTGCATTTTAAAATCTGTATACTTCATTGCGGGGAACTCACTGGGATTAGTTTTGTATGGTAACAGTGCAAACACTGTATTTTATGATGACAGCATTTAATGTGGGTCGCTCATGTCCAGCCACTATCTAATCCACCAGATAAGGTGGGTATTGGCACTGATTTGATCCCTATTCAAGACACCGGAATATTTTCTCAGTGTAGTTTACTACGCTGCCCTACACGACTCCACACACTCTCTTTCTCTCCTTCTCAGATGACATACAGTAGATGAGTCCCCTTCCTTTCAAGCTCAGAAGAGGAATTTGCTGGATGAGGGAGCACATCTCTCCTTCATAAGGAACGTTGTTGCATTTCATTAGGGATAAGATTCATCACAGCAAGCAAACAAGAGAGCCGTGCAAATCGCATTGGAGGAATTCCTACACTATCCTCAACATTGTCTAAACACACACACACACACACAAACACACACACAAACACAGCTGATATGCAAAAGGCACAAAGCAAACAAAAGCTAAGAGCGCTGATTCAGGAGACAAAGGGGTACATCAAGGACGGTGATACTGCGTGATTGCTCATTATTGCGAGCTTCAAAATGAAGCATTACTGTGTCAGTGGTAAGAATGGCAGCCGGCTGCCTGGAGTTAAACGGCCACATTTTTTCTCATTGAACAATGGAGCTGTTCCTTCTGCAGAGGCCTGGATCCCAGAGAGGCTGAGCATGTGGGGCGTGAGTGTGCTCTCCTGGTCAGAGGTCCAGTGCTCTGTCTGAGTGAGAGGACACCCGAGGGTCCATTTTGGAGATGGCTGTAAAGCTCCAGCTCTGACCCCGGAAAAATGGCTCAGATAAGGCCTGTATACAGACCAATTTAACAGGTCACGACCCTGTCTCAGAGTGGGAGCAACACAGCGGGAGTGTGTGAACACAGCCTAGGGGATCTGTCCCATGATGAGATACTGGTGATATCTAAGTGTAGCCCTGACGCTGCAGCAGTGGCTGTCAGCCCATTGATTCACAGCTAGAACAACTGGGGAGACAGGGACACAGTCAGGTTCTGTGGCTGGGAAAGCATGTGATTATATGTGTCTTTTGGTATATGTGAGCATGTAGTGGACGTCCAGTGGAGCATTATGTACTCCAGGCAGGCAGACCTAAGGAACAGTGAACAGAGAGACAGAAAGCTGGGGCCTTCACCCACACTGAGGTCAACAGCTGCATATGGCACACAACAGATCTATTCATGACAGATGTACACAAATGCAGACACACACTGGACAGAGGCCTGTTTGTGGCTCAAGAGATAAGAGGGATGCCATGCAAGCTCTGTGAGTTACAGTGTGGGAGAGCCAAAGGGAGATGTTACCACATACTACTAGACAGTCCTCTGTGTCTTCTAGTGTATTAAACACAATGATCGTGCCTGTCTGCTAAAGGCAGCACGCTGGCTCCGGTTGAGACAACCGACTGAGCGTGGGATGGAGCTGGAGGTGTATATAAGCAATATTAGATAATAGATGGACTTCAATGAAAGCTTTGATATCGATATAAACAAGCCACATAAAACAGAAGTGAGACAGAGACAATGGCACGCAGAGTGAGTGAGAGAACAACAACCATGAAATATTTGCGTATTAGAAAGAAAGAACAGAGAGTTCTGATTCACAGAGTGTTTGGCCCCCAGAAGAGAAGCGTATATTTTCTGTTTTTGAAGTCGTATCTTTGTGTGTTAGCAGGGAGTGGGTGGTGCAGGACATGATCTGACAGCTTATCTGACAGTAAATCCCCAAATGGAAAAGGAAAAATACAGAAATACTCTATCTAATATCTATCTGTTAGGGATTGGTACTCTAGCACTCATATACTCTATTTTGACTTCAGTATTTGCTCACCATATTGAGTATTTGCGCCCAACCTCCCACATGTAAACATGACTTATATATTACCATTCAAAATGGGTGCTGCTGCTGAGGAAGTGTGAGTTTGCACCAAACACCAGTCCACACGCTGACACACACAGTGACAGGGCTAACATTTAACATCAAAAGGTTAACATTACCCAATCACCCAATTACCCAATTTCTGTGTCAGTGTGAGTTTGTTGGGACCGTTAAAGAGCTCAGTGTCAGATGTTAGCCACTGCTGTGTTAGCTTGTGCTAACTGGAAAGATGTTGAACTGAAGGGAGGAGAGCGGCTGCAGACTCCCAAAAAGGTCGTTCAGTCTGCGTCTACCTTGTGTAACGGCATCTATCAATCTATCTATCTATTAGGGGTTGGTCTGGGTACTCAAGTACTTGTGTACTTTATTTTGACATCGCAACCCATTTAAAGTGGGTAAAATTGCATTGTAGAGCTGTTTGCAGTGTACAGCTTCACTCATTCAAGCAATACTCATTGCCCCGCTGCTGCTCTGTTGCTCTGTTTATCATGAAACTGCTGCTGAGGAAGTGTGAGCTATGCACCCAGTGCCAGTCCACACGCTGACACACACAGTGACAGGGCTAACTGTTAGCATCACATGGTTAACATTACCTACCCTGCTTATTAATGAATTTACCAACAGTCGAGCCATTTCGGAGTCAGTGTGAGTTTGTTGGAACCATTAAAAAGCTGTGTCGGATGTTAGCTGCTGTTACTGTGTTAGCTCACGCTAATTGGACAGTTTTAGGGTTTAAATGGCTAATTGAAGCCTGGTTGTCTGAGAAATAAATTTCAAATCGCACTTGTTTTCTGTTTTTGGCCAATTTACATTCCTGTTCTTGGGTAAGATGTTTCTAGGAGGAAAATTACTTCAAATGCCAATATTTATCTATCTATCTATCTATCTATCTATCTATCTATGTGTGGTTATATATAAATACTGTATACTTCACATTGGCTAAACTCTCTCTCTCTCTCTTTCAGCCTCAACTATAACTAAACTTTAAGAAGAGATAAACTCTAGTGTATGCCTATAAAGTGCAGAACATGAAGCACTGTCCTTGTTTAGCTGATTGGGTCCTGTGCTTTGGCAGCTGTATGGACCCCCCTCTCTGGCCTAGACTGGTCTCTCTGGGAGAGGTCAATAGCAGGGACGTCTGCCAGGTGAGAGGTTGGCTCAGGTTTAATCGATGCGCGCCAGAGGAGGACAGACAAGCGGGCGGGCAGGTAGACAGGCCGGCACGGTAACTACCAGGCAGAGATAAAACTATTCCTGGTGGGGTTCACCGGCCAACTGCTGAGCCTGCGCTCTGGCGGAGAAACTCGCGCTTCAAAACGGTTTAGGGGATTGATTTGACAGCTAATTTACAGAGGAGATTTGCATATGGCCATGTGCTAATAAGGCAGGCTTTTCTTTGCCATCCTTTGTCTTTCCCCGCTATCTCTTTCAGCTCTCGCCTTCCTTTTTTTAGACCTCAGCAAATAGTAACAGATAATGTAAGCGAATTAAAGAGACAAGAGATTCAAATTGGATATTGATTAAGAGACTAAAGCCTTGTGTTTTCTCCTGTTAAAGCCTGTGTTTAAATGATTGATTCACAATGTCACTCTCTACATCCTACTGACTGTGTGGTGAGCTGTGTTTGGGATCGGTTGTGCCTCTAAGCCCTTCAATGGGCCCACATCATGTCACGCCATGCTAAGTGCTTTGACACAGTGGTACAAAGAGCCCTGCCTATCTGATGCCAATCTCCCCAGGTCTTGGTGTCACCCAGGTGGAGGCTTTCAGAGAGAGCAAGGACAAAGTCTCCTCCTCAGCAGTGCTGCACAATGCAGCCTGACTGACAGCAGAAAGGACAAAATGGAGCTTCTCTGTCAAGTGGATGTTAAAGCGGTGGGAGGAAAAGGAAAAAGGATTCAGGGACAGGTGCATACATTGGATCCACAGAGGAAACAACAAGTAGAAAACAGGATGCTTTCTACCTGGAAGTCACAAGATTCACAGTCAAACAAGTTGTGACATCAGACATCTGCATAGCATTTCCTTGAACTGAGCCACTCTGTGGAATCACTTAGATTAACCTGACCGCAGCCTTAACGCAGGCTACACACTGCACATGAACACCTATCAGTGCCTTTCACATAAATGTTTGCTGTTCCTTAACTCACTGTCGTAGTGGCAGTGCTAGCACGAAAAATGATTTATAACACAAAGGGACATGCTCACACAATGACTGCTCCACAAAAGCGCAGAGCCCCGTCATGCTGACACACCATCTGTCCACGAATTAACACTCAACCATTTGCGTTGCTGGAAACTCACTCTTCATGTTCTTGAAGATGTTGAAAATGGGGAGGATCTGTCTGTAGTAAGGCACCAGAGCCTCTCCCACCATGTCTCCGGACACCACCAAATGCTGCAGGACTTTCAGAGTGGTGCAGATCACCTGACGGTTCCTGGTGTTCAGGGCATCTGGAGGGCAGAGACAGGTGGCAAAGGTCAACTGAGGCCTAGAGTTTAAAAAAATGGGGTTGCAAGGGCAAATGGTCAGTCTTTTCTTAGATCTAATTTAAAGGTTGTTTGTTCAGGCAGGTGGAGGTACAGTAAATGTGAAGCGATTCTGACAGCTGCAACTATATGGTTCATAAGAGTGGGCTTAGCATACACTCACAGCCAAATTACACATAAATCTTAACCCCCACATACTCCCTTTCCCTTGAAAGCATTTCCTTTATAGCTGGGCTTTGATTTAGACTGGCTTGTCTGCAATCAGTGATTTCAAATGCACTGGGGAGACAGGAGTACGTGAGAGCCAATCACTGGGCTATTTGGCCTACAGCTGCACTTAACTCCATCTCCCACTGATAGAGAGAACAAAAGGGAATGATGGTGGGAGAGATGGAGGGCTAGAGAGATCAAGAGAGACAAATTCAGAAAGAGAAAGAGGGAAGGGGGGAAAAACAACAAAAGACAAAATGGCAGAAAGAGAGCTGAAGAGATGTGACAGGCGGAGGGCAAAGGCTCAGAAAATAACTGTGATTAGCAACTAAGACTGACATATTTTTCTAGTTCCTTACGCCTGTTTTATTTGTGCTTTTTTAAGTTGCTTTTTTTAAATTTTTATTTGAGCTTCTGCGTGAGCGCTGGTAATTCCCTGTGCAGACTGTCAGTATAATTCAAGTTAGAAAAACAGACCTGAGCTATTTATCTTTATCAAACCTTAAACTGTCATTTGATGCCTTCTTTTACAAAAAAAAAGATCGTCATGGCATCACAGTGCCTATTTTGCCAGTAAGCACCTACAACAACAAGAATGAAAGACATGAAAAAAAAAAAAACATTTCATAAAGAAAGAGTCAAAACAAAGAAAACAGAGTGAGCAGAGACACTGAGGGCTTGCAGTTGACGGAGATGAGGGAAATGTGTTATTAGGTGAGAGAGAGAAAGGAGAGAGGTATTTGCTGTAGAAAGACTAAAAATGGAAAAATAAAACACTTACTGCTGATTTAAAGGCAGAGCATATCTACAATTAATAGCCTGGGGCAGTATTGTCTGCACACAGTTCTCAACATGGAGGTGGCTAGCAGCTAATAGTGCTAGCGCAATATAAACAGCGCTCACAACAGCAACAGCACTGACAGAGCTAACCAGTCCTTTCAGGATTTCATGGGCTGTTTTTGTGATTGCTGCGGCCTGAAATTCCTGATTTCATGGCAACTTTCTAAAACATTACAGCGCACAATGCGATGACACACAGCTGAATATCAGCAAAGTTTCCCTGCTTCCCTACACTGGTTCCTGTACAACAGGTTCGGTCTTTTTTTCACTGTTATAATCATTAAAAAGCAAAAGCAGCATGTGTATACATTCA